CCGCGCCGTCAATGCGTTTCCAACTCCCCCCCCCCCCCGAATCATCGGTGAACGAAATTGTGGCAGCTACAACCAGCGTACGACGAGTACGCGGTTCTTACAGCTGACAATGATGATGATGATCCACCACCCTCCTTAAAAATCGGAAAGTCCAAGATTATCAAGACAAAACTCTGATCATCATTGTACAGACCACGCCTGTGGTAGTCGTTATTGGAGAAGTGCGTCTTGCAATCGGTGCGGGACACCAGGCAAGCTTTGGGTCACATAGTCTGAGCTGCTGTTATCCTCACTTGACTTGACGATTGTGGGCCACATGCTGACAACATTGGAACTGTCTAGCCCAGGCGGACTCCTTTGGTGTGGCTATACATGCGGCCCAGCGCAAACCATTATACTCAAGAGCCCAACGGCGTAGGCGACAGGACGGGATTCAGCTCACCATGTATGCAGCAAAAAAATGGCCTCATCAAACTCCAAAAGGGACCAATCGGATAGACGAATGCACGTGAGCTTCTTCCGTTGCCTTCTTCTCGCCTAGTTGGTCTGACATTCACGTGGTCGTATGTGTTGCAGTAATCCGTAAGAACGTATATCAGACCCTCGCCAGACTGACTAACACCGCCGGAACCCGCCAGCATAAGCCAGGTGGCGGAAACATCAATCACATTGCACAGACCTGGCGCAACCAAATTGTTTCCGAGGGAGTTGGTATTCGCAGCGGATTTCGAAGAGAATAAACCCACATTCAAATTGGACAAGACTACTTATAATTGGACGCGGCAAAACATCGGCACTGACGTTTAACTGCTGTACAGCCAAGGAGGAAGGTCCCCATGAGTGATACCGACTGAATGAGGAATTAATGCAAAACTCTATATGTCGCGGGAAAAGTCAACAGCGAAACATCTGTACTTTCAAACCAGTGAGATGAGTACGTGACTAAGGCACTACCAGCCGTACCGACTAAATCGCTTCGCGAACCTCACCTAACACCAACCCACTGCATCACAGACGAGCGTCAGCAAGGTAGCCCAACTGGTGATGCCTAGCTCACTACAGGGATTGGTTACTTAAGGTTTCCAACAAGTCTCACATGCACTTCACCCAGGAAGGTGCGAAGATCTCACAACGCCCAACCTGAAAATACCCGTTTACATTTCGCATTGCCATGTTACGGCCTATCCCGTAAGAATATTTCGCTAAGGTGTTAGGGTGAGAAACTCGGCTCTTTGCTAGACAATAGCCAAGCAAACCCAGCAAGCGCCTCAATCTGATAAGCCTTATCTACCGCTCGGGCTAATCACTCTGTAGAGGACCGTTTCATCATATATATGCTGGAGACAATCAACGTCTGTTACGCTAGATTGCGTTCAGCTGTAGTACCCTTCCGGTGCCTAGCTGCCATGCCACCCGAAGGAAGCACGAGGACTGGGATACTGGCAGGTTGCCCGAGCCTAGACAGGGGAAGTAGAGAGGCAGTCGGTTTCGAACCACGGACCTTCCACCTGGGCCATCTCCCCCCCGTTACGCTAGATACCTGTGACCTGGACGTCTGAAAACATTTGAGGTGTTCAAAGTGGAGGTCAAGTTTCACAATCGTAGAGTAGGACCGCTAATTAAGCAGAGTTGTAGATACGGCACTTTAGCCTGCTATCGGTTCCTGACGCAGCTGGAAAATGTTACTCGTGTCACGCACTGATTTCATGTTACAGCGCGATCAGAGAACTATGCAGCTATCGAACTAGGTGAAACGATCAGCAAACTCAAGCCCTTAGTACTGGAGTTTGAAAGTGGTAAATGGGCGTGATTATCTCGCAGACTGCATGCGGAAACAGTTGACCGTGTCCGATATCCTGTTTGCAGTTTGTGCGGACACATTAAAGACAAGAAGCGGAATCTTTATCCGATCACGAATTAAAATGGTTCCTTGAACTGCTCAGCATGAACCTACACTTCAAGAATCTGAAAGTTCTATCATTGAGTGAAACCCCGTAACGCGGTTCGGCCAAGACTCTTCCTCCGGCTGACTGGACAATGGAGTTGTCAGTAACGACAAAGTAACTGGAATCAGGGAACTGACTCCACTTATATAACGCAACGCAAGTCACTCAAATAGCGGTGTACGTTTGTCAAATTTGGAGAACAAACTTGTCACCAGCGCCGTCAACAATTTTAGGAGTTATCATCCTGATTCACTTGACTGGTTGACATCAGTGGGCCACCGTATGCATGAACTTAAGGCCATCAACGTTTACCGTCACTCACCTTCAAATCTAGCGGAGTAATAGGCCGTTCAGGAACAACTCAAAGTCAGTTTGTTCAGGACGTCAGCTGACGGTCTTCGAGATAATTCAGCGGTCAAGAGAAGACGATGACCAGAAATCCGTGGTGCAAACTCAACCCAGGTCTTTCTATTACCCCGGCCGAGGCTTGGCTAAGCAGGTACTTTATTAGCCAGTCCGTCCTTCCAGTTGCACGGTGGCCACGCACTGAAACGGTTCCGTAACTGGACGGTTTGTTTGGTTATTGAGAATTGGAGTTGAAATTTACTGATAGCGTTCCAATTAAAGACGCCTCTGAGGCGATGGAGTGCTTTGGTCAACCGAAAACTACCGCTCAGTACCTTGGAATGAGACTAAAGGTCCAACAAGTGAAGGCAAATCTCTTTGGGTCACAAGCTTGAACAAAGAGGACTTTTGGTGGCCCTCAGTTGCAATTTGTGCAGTGTTTCCGAGGGATACCCCCATGCGGGAGATTTGTCAGCTTAATTTGTCCCCTTATCGTAATTAATTGTTTGCAGGTTAGGACCGAGCCGAACTAACGGTGAGACCTCACAGATTACCGCACTAACGTCATTCTATCCAGAATAAGAATGATGCAAAGATAATCAAAATTAGGTCAGAGCATTGAAAAATCGAGCGCTTGCTTTAGTGTCTATAAAAAATTCGTCCGCTGGTAGTACCCTTCAGTATCTAACTGCATGACACACGAAGGAAGCACGAGGGCTTGGATACTGCCAGGTTATCCAGGCCTAGACAGGAGAAGTCGAGAGACAGAGGCCCAGGCCACGGATCTTGCGGTCACCAAACTCGCAGTCTAATCACTTAGCCATCTCGCCCCCTGTAGTGCGTATAACCCATGACGAATGCCATCCAGAGTTGTCGGAATGTTAAGACCAAAAAGATACCCTACATAGACGTACGTCTGCTGAGAGCCATTGATTGCCAGAGCTCGTAAAAAAGTCTCCAAAACCTTCTCGAGTTAGACAGCAGCTAGGCACCGAAGGAGTGTTACAGCTAAACGATCATTTGAGTATATACCAGAACCTCCGAATGTGCTAGTTACCAAACCGGATCTGTGAACACAGCGACGTCGATAGGTAGGAAAAATACAAGTACTCTAATAGGGCATTTTGTCGGTATCAAAAAAACAATTGTTATGGTGTTGAATATGAAAAGAATAGAGCGAATCCCCGTAACAAGTGGATGATGTTCTACAAATGGACCACTGGCGGGCGCATTTATAATAAAAAATGCGCATGAAATGGATGGAGGACGGAAGAAGTCATTAGAAATTCATAACAGTCATCCTTGTGTAGCCAACAGGACCGAGGAGGAAGGTATTCAACTCCAAGGAAATGGGCAATACAAAAATACTGAGTTTCACAAATGCAGATTTGACGAAAGGGTGGTCAAAAGGAGCAGGACAAACTTCGGCAGATCTTTAATTTGATGTGCTGATCTTGGCGTTCGATTATCAGTTGCCGTCTGGAGGTGATAAATTACACTATTCACTCATTTGGAACGCGGGCAAAGGTGGCAAGAGCAACAGGTGTGCAGTTGCAGCAGGGTGGACAAATAACAGAAAGGGTCTAATATGCCGTTTTGCAGTTGGTAAAGACGGATGGAGGTTCAAACGCACACACTGATTAGAATGGTGACAAAAGTGATATTCAACTTCTTTACTAACACCCAAGGGAGGACGACGACGAATGCCCGGTAGAATAGTTTTCATTCGTGATGTTCTTGCTCATGGCCTGAAATTAAAAGTGAGTGTGTGAGATGGGGAGGGTGGACAACAATCAACCTATCATATGCTACCTAAACTACGAACTTGGGTTAACTGGAAGCCTTCAGATGGTTCCACAACCCACCTGCCTCACCATTTTCGTGGCCGTGTTCATCACTACGCCGACCTCGGTAGGAACCGCGGGGTGCGCCACGTCCATCATATCCATAACCTCCCCTGAAACCACGGCCTCTGGGTCTTCCTCGACCTCGGAAGGGACGACCACGACCACCACGATCCATATAATCGTAAGTACCGTACTAAGGGAGGAAAACAGAATTTATCGAGTGAAGAGTGCAAGGAGAAGCCACATTACGAGCAACATTCGATAAAGAACTTTAAATCCCGGAGGAGGACAGAAACCGTCTTTAGTCCGGGATGTATCCTGCGCAGATACTCAACTGTTTGTCAAATATGCCACCAAACGAGATGAACAGACGGGAGCATGACGAAGTAGTACAGTTTACCCAGAGATCTGGGTTTTAGGAACAACTCCTTCATACCACTCCTACAATCGGCGAGAAAACTAAGGTAATCAGAAACCTACCTAAACAGTCTGGCACATGACGGAGCTCGTTTGATTCTCCACATTAAAAAGTAACTAGAAAACGTTCGTGAATAAATGATCACCCTCGAAGGACAGCGTCAGCGCCTTCAGTACAAAGACAAGAGTCACGGCCGATGAACACAAGTGTCGATTTTTTCTGCCTGACAGTTATTTCGTTCGCGGACTACAGGTCACAGTGACTTGACCATTGTATATGCATGCCAAAATCTTCGCCCATGGATGAGTGCTGCACTTTACTTCTTTGAACGTGTACACCACTGGCCAACCAATTGACTTGACAGAGACATAAGTCCCTGCATCCCCGACGCTTGGCTGGAGACGTTGATGTCAACGAAGTTTGTGCCGTCGATCTTGTCATGGCTGCGGGTAAGCAATTCGAGACGTTCAAAACAATCTCTTTATTCCGCATAGCTGTGAGGAATTCGTGCCATGATCAGAAATATAATCTATGGAGATGATTAACATACTGAAATTACCGGCCCGACCTTTAATTGCGCCTAAAGATTATACCTCGGTTACGCGTTACCCAACAACCAGAGTCTACCAGTACATGGACCAAAGCAGGGGTTCAGTGTACTCTGGCGCTTCCTCGGTACTGCCGGTTGTGCAAACTGGCCGTAGAACCGACCCACACGGACTTACCGAGACTATATACCTGGAATAATACTAAAATAATGAAACGGTTCAGCTGTAACATCCTTCCGGTGCCTTGCTGCCATCCCTCGTGGTCCCCTTGCTCGAACTCAAAATGTCGAAATGTTCGTAAATTAGTGTACCTCCGGAAAAACCGACGGGACACGAGTAGGAGCGCTTGAGACCATTAAGACAACGATTGAGTAAACCATAAGACAGATGCCTGCCAGTGACGACGATTAACAAGTGCTGTTTTTCCCAACGAGATTATCCGAACCAGCAAGCGTTCAAGAAGCCTGGCAGCGAATGGATTAGTATCATTTTGATTTTAATCACGAAGTGTGGAACGATACATCACGGAAGATGTTTTAGTACTGACGACAGTCAGGTTAGGTAAATGCACAAACCTCAAAGGCCAAAATCGCTTATATCGATTGGCGCTACTGGTGGCTTCAAAAATATACAGCTGTCATCAAAGGGGACGTATGAGATTACCGTGCCGTCTGCATTGTGCTAGGATTGCAAGAACTGGTCAACTTCGTGGGCTATCTGGAACCATAGCTAGAGTCCGCTGGAATCAGCAAACTCCCCGTGTGATTAGGAAACGGGTTTCTGGTGAGGCAGGTAATACTTGACCCAGAGAATGCACCCACCACTGTCAGCTAGGGTGGTTTGGCCATGTGTCGCGCATGTCGAGTTGTCGCTTGACGAGACGAGCAATCTTCTGTGCTTAATTCGGATTGGCAGAGACCCAGAGGCGGACAAAATTTCAAATGGCAAGAGGAAACGGTGTCACGAAAATTTTGGGTGCCGATGATACAGTCCACCTGGCCTGATCTGTGTCTAACCGGGCGACAGTGGACGCTATGGAGATTTCAGTGCTGTTCACGCTGTCCAGATAATGAGTGCAGGTGTAGACTGGCACTCGATCATTTCTTCGTCCTACTTTTTCCATTGTAAAGCTTCATTCAAATAAATTGACATAAATATATGATAGTGGAGCACCAGTATTCTATTTGGTGCTGTTGTTTAGCCTATCAAGTTGCTCCGAGTCACTGAACGTACTACGAAAGTCCTTTCGGAACTATTGGGCCTTCCTATTTTGAACGGGGTTTGGGTACGTAGAAGTTCGCAAGCTTGCCAGAAAACGGGTCCGGGTATTCTTATTCGGAGTCTGCTATTCCAGCGGACTCTAGCTGCGGTTCCAGACATGTGTTTAATGAACTGAAGATGTTTCATGTCCAGCCCACGAAGCTGACCAGTTCTTGCAGGCCTAGCAAAATACAACTCGTACCTTAATCTTATATGCGCAAATATGCTATTCTGTACTGTGACGGATTAGAAAGTTCACGCATTACGTGTAGAGATGGATAGGAAACTCGTTCGACCTCCAGGCATGAGGACAATAACCAAAGATGTATGAGTCACTGAAGCGGGGAGGTTTGGTGATTTCCATTATGCAAAACGTTGTCTACGCAAAATGACCGGGACAACTCAGCCATGGGACCCGTAAGCATTCAACGTTAACGGCTAGTGGATACTTGAGCCGAGACGACTGTTGGTCACTTAGGTAGGGCGCTATCCAAAATACTTAACTGTCGCCCATAAGGCGTCAGGAAAAACTCTCCCGCAATCTCAAAACATAACTATTCAAATTTGGAAGGAGTAAGGATAAAGGGACACTGCAGATAAATACACACCTAAAACACCTACAAGTAGATGACTACTGATGACGAAGCACACGGCACACAAACTCAAAGATTTGCTTCTGTACGAGACTGGATGAACCAGAGCTGCGATGACTCACCATTTCTTGACCTCCACGACCACGACCTCCGCCATACTGAAATCCATAGTCGTTGCTGTTTGTGAATCCCCCGGGTCCCATACCACGACCTCGGCCGCGAAATTCATAGACGCGTCCGCGACCACGAGGCGCAGCGTAGACACTGCCCTAGAAACTGGTCAGCGGTTCCATTACAAGTTACCTGCACGGGAGCGCCGTCCGGGCCCGTTACCTCATACGCCTCGTCTCCTTTCTCACCTTCGACTACATAAAACTCAACTTCCTCGCCTTCTTTCAGTGATCGTTGGAGTTGGTCAGGGTTCTTCCGTGCAATCGCAGATTGATGCACAAATATATCCGTATTGGTATCTTGACGATGGATGAAGCCATAGCCAGACTTGACATTAAACCATTTAACTTCACCCCTGACACGCTGCTCGACCAACTTTCGAGGTGACGCCTTTCCGTGTGCCTTATCCGACTCAGGCGACGCAGTTTCTACCATTCTGCAGGGGGGCAGGCCCAGGTGGTGACCAAACAAACCCCTTGATTGAGCGTCACGACCACTAGGTGCAAACCGCCAATGGTGGAAGCGGAACACGAACAAACAAGATTCAGAACAAAGCGATAAACATTGGTATTTCAAAACGATTTAACCTATGATGAAAGCAGTTGAGTGGGTGCTAAACTTGGGCATTCATTCAAATAGGTTACTTTGGGAGTCCGATTATGAGCGGCTAATTCAAATATTCTGCACTTTCCACGGGCTTCACGGATTCACGGATTGATACACAGGATCGAGGCTTTTGCCCAAGTTTCCCGGGTCGGTTTTGTTCTTGTCGGTCAGTGGCTGTCGTTCGCCTGAAAGGCACAAGTGAAAAAAGGGTGTAGCACTGCTCTTTATGTTCTCGGCGCGGGGCGGTATGCTTGCCAGCGCGAGGATTCGCATAAATAAATGTCTAATAGTGCTTTAAATTGGGTTCGAGAAGGAGCGTGTACAACCGTCGGAGGAAGGTCATTCCACGCAGCTACTACCCGAAATGAAAAAAAGTTTTGTCTAATGAATGTGTGTGCCCTGAGCTTGAAGATTTTCTTACTATGTCCCCGCCGGGTGTTTGCTGGGTCAACGGTAAAAAACCTGTTTGCCAAGCTTTGTTCAAACAGGGCGTAAGTAAGAATTAGGTCCCCTCGGAGGCGACGGTACTCCAGGGGAAAGAGATCAAGCATCGCGAGACGCGTTTCGTAGTCCACGGACTTGAGGCCGGCAACCATTCTCGTGGCGGCCCGCTGGACGCTTGCAAGGTGACGACACGGAACCCAGAATACACTTAATACCGGCGATCCGTCTCTGCATAATTTGTGATCTTCAGGACTGATAAACCTACAGAACTAGTAGGCGGGTCCAAAGTAACCTGCCTCAGCAGATCGTCGGTTTATCGACCGATGGTCCTACCTCAGACTGAATGGCAAGACGTGCATACGAGACCAAATGTCCCCCGGTTTCCTACAGACGTCTACAAAGAGTATTGTACCCCTCTCCAGAAACACAGAGGTTTGCATTAATATGGACTGAGTCATGCTGGTATGTATGGTTTTCCCAGCCGATGAGCAGCACACTCCAGTCTGTTCGCCGTTAGTGAGGCCATTCTCAACTATCTTTTTGATTGACACGGCTCACACACCATAGATGCAACAAAACCTGGTCATACTTCCAAAACCATTGAAACAGGAAGGCTTTCGAGGTTAAGAGAGTTCACAGAACTTTAATAACTGGTATATTAGTTATTGTGCACCGAACTATTTTTAGCAGTAATGAAGATCAAAGGAAATATGGTTTGCCAAGGGCTAGCTTGTCCCCCGGCTCTCCCGCACCGAATGGTGGGATATTTCAGGCTGGCATACATTAACATTTCAGTCTAAGCTGGTCGCTTCTAAGGGAGCGCGTTTCGTTGCAGTAATCTAACATTAGCGGCAGCCTATTCGTTTTCTCATTTGAGCGGGTCACGTTTTGCCTCCTGTATCGGATACCTCATAAGGGTCCCCCTAGAGCCTTCTTCATCCAAGAGAACGGAGGTTAGTTTACTTAGCCTGGATTAATGAATTCTGGCCTGTCAAAATCCCGGGAGCTCAGATGGGCCGTTTTAGAAACGAAAGCATCCCCATCATAACTGAATCGCACATTACAATTAGCTTGACGCTTGTTTTTGGACGGACACATCCGATTAACCACTGCATTTAACAGCACAAGTATCTCAACCTTATGTAATCCCAATGACCTGATCCTTCATCAGGCGGTTGGATTGGAAACTTACCATCACCATCCGAGGTGAGCCACCTGTGTGGTAATCAGGACGGTGCACTGACGTTGTCACCTCCTTTGGTGACGAAAAGCTTGCAATCTATCTCGAACTCGGTGAAGAAGCCAACGGCTGAGCAGTTCACTGGACCTACCTGTATCGCGCAACATCCCCAAACTTGTCAGCACCGTCGCTCATTTCGAGATCCATCCATATTTAGCATTGTTTACACATGTATCCTTAACCCTTTCCCCTTGCATTCTTGTAGCCTTTGCAACCCCGTTGCACTACCAAACATGAGGCGTCTGCTTTCTCTCTCGTGACACGCAACGCGTAGCCAGCATTTTTACGGCAATTTACTACCATCTTTATGTATAGCTGCTCCCACACGAGCCTCATATGCCTCTGGTTGCCGTTCAGCCAGACGATCATTGTAGAATCCATAAGCTCTTGCTCCGCCAGCTGCCATGTTCCCTCCGCATCGACCCTATCTGCTTATCACTCCTCATCCGGTTACGAAGTGTCAACATCTGTTGACGAGACAAGCCCCACCCTCTGCACAGTCAGTTACTTTGCCTCTCATCCACCTTGGAAACCCCGATTTCCTCGGCACTGATGGTATCTCTTCACTTATCTTAAAAGCTGGTGGCCTGATTATCTCCACCCTCGTCCTTAATCTCTTCAATGTCTCCTTTATCACTCGCACAGCCCCAGATCAGTGGAAGCAATCCGCCATTATTCCACACTATAAATCGGGACCACGAACTGTTCTAGCCAGCTATCGTGGCGTGCGCCACACCTGCTTACCCTCCCGTACCCCAGAGCGTCTTATCGAAGTCCCTGTCATGGATTACCCGCTAAACCCCAAGACACTTGACAAACGGCAGCATGGGTATATGGCATGGTGGTCGGCTAACACACGACAGGTCGATTTCCTTATTCATATTTCGTCCGCCTACGATGCCGGGCTGTGCATTATTCTTGTTTATCTTGATATTAGCAAGGCGTTTAACCAACAGTGCACTCCTCAACAAATGACGATCTACGGGGATTGGCGGTCCGCTACTGCGATGGTTCTCTTCTTACCTCACTGGAAGAACCCAGGCTAGCAGGATCGGGGATCCCTTCACCTCACCTCTTCTCATTACCAACTGAGTCATTCATGGTTATGTGCTTGGTTTCCTACTGTTCTTGCTGTACATTAATGCCACTGATTCGATCAACTATGGAACCCCCCTTTTCTGTTCTCTGGCGGTAATAAGATGAATTTCATGTTAAAGGTCAGTAACTCTGTTAATACTCTTGCTAAAATTCAGTCTAAATTGTTTCTCCCTGTGGTTCTCTAACTCCCGTCCTTCTTTCGCCGGTCCAAAATGCCAAGCCCTCTCACCTCGATTCCAGATTCCACCCGGGATGCTTATTCACAAAAAGACGCTCTATTCCTACTCTTCCCGAAGTGAGAGATCTAGGTATTTGGTATTCCTGTGCCTTTAATTTTAAATAACACGCACAGTCTAGAGGGCTGAAGCCCGCAAGCCCTGTGCTTTCATTCGATGATCTTTCCACAATTAACCATGTTTACTTGCCATCTTCAAGCGGTTTGTAAGACCCATTCCCGAATCAAGCCCTGAATTCGCCTCACAGTGTTCGCGCGTATGCTGGACAGCTGTGGAGAATGTGCGATGCTCTCTTACTAACCCCTTGTTTCCTGCGTCATTCACACTACCGTATCGTCTTTGCTTGAGGTGGGTCCAATATGGCTGAGGCCGATTAGGTTAAAACTAGGCTTTCTGCATCGCAAAATACACCGACGGACTTACATATCCGACTACCGCCCTGGGCTTACTTCCTGCCCTAGCTGAAAAATCTGCATCTCTGGGGTTCTAATCGCGTTGTCGACCTGCCGAATTGTCTTTAGACAAAACGTTTTTAGTCGTCTGTTTTACAAACCATGGGACAAACTCCCCTCCCATATTCATACAACATTGCCTCATGGAGGCTTTCGAAAGACCATCGATTTTCACCTCTCTGTTGAGGAAGCTGAACGTCTTTTCGCGCCACCGCTTACACTAAACATTTTCTTTGGAATGGTCTTTAAGCCCTTCTCGTTTGCACCCTCACGTCAGCTGTCCTACTACTACAATCTAGCGCGTACACTCACCAGCTTGAGTGCCCTAGCGTTAAACCACAGTTGAGACAACTACACCGTCAGGTATCCACAAATCACTGCTTTATCTATATTTTATCCAGACGTTCACTTCCTGTGTCTACATTTGCACTCGAGGCGTAGTTATGTTGCAGAGAGCGTCTAGCGCTTGTCAGCGTAATTGATTTCGTGCCCGTCTCCGCTGGCCTGGTTGTATTTCCTAACATCTGGCCGTGAATTCCACGCCCAGCCAAATTATCCCTGTTTTTTAAGCTTGGTTTCATCTCCTGACAACCCTAGAAAGCTCTATTCAATGTCCAGTGCTTTGTTCTGATTAGATTTAACTAATCTTGGCCAAACCAAAGTCTTAGTCCTTCACTGTTCAGAGTCATTCTGAATCGTCTGATCACGTGCAGCGCAAACATTCAAATAGTGGGTACGAAGATGCGCTGTGAGTGAAGTAATTGTTTGGTTTTAGGGCCCATTCATTCACATACAAGTATAACGCTACTGCGCACCTCTACTTGACATGGCGCTTCCCATCAGTATTTCGTCGTCGTTCAGCCGTGAATAACTGGCTCTGAACATTTCTATTTCAATCCCACGGCTAAAACGTTCACTGCAATTTCATTTGACCCAAGTGGCTGTTCGCTAATCGCAATACCGGCGTCTCTAGGCAATTCTTATTACCTTCCGGACGTGCTGACTGTTTTCTGCGTCATTATCTCTGAACATCTCTGAACGCCGGAATCCGTTCGCTTGTATATCATTGGGCATTTATTGGTTATTACTTCCCCAAAGCCTCGGAGCTTCACTGCCCCATTTTCTAGTCCTAAAGATTGTGACATCAGTGAATTTAAGTCCAGCGCGATCCGTCATTATTACCGTATGTATTCATTGGACCAGTTCCCAACGCAGCACCTACTGCCACCATTAGTGTGTTCCTACAAAATACTGAATACGACCTTCTCTTAGTCCTGATATATCCAATAGTCTTGTAAGATCCTTGGTAGCAGGTTCCAAGTTTCCCTGAAACCGCAGGTTGTACAAATAGATCTTCAAC